CGTGTATCGCATACTGGGGCGTATTTAATGTTGATTTGCTCAGTGTACTTTGTTCCCTGCTCTTTTGCAAATCAGACTGCTTGCTTTCTATATTTGCAAATGGAAATTGGAATTATCACTTCAACTCCTGATTTTGAATATCCCCATTGAGGAGGTAGGTAGCACCAGAACCCTTTCTGCCTCAGCTCACTTTTTACATCAGAGCTTCTGAAACACCCTCCCAATTTCTTCATGAAATATTTCCTTCCTCTGTGACAGAAAAGGCTCTTGATGGTATCTACCTAAGTTCACAGGCTTCTACTCTCACCACTTCTCCCCTCCCTACTGAAAAAGAACATTTTTTGTCTCACCATCTTCCTAACCGCCAGATTGTCTAATTCTATTTAAACCACCTGCAGCAGCATCCCAACATTCTGCACATCTACTTGTCACGCACAGGAATTATTGTAAAGTGTATTGAATGTACATTTTGTCGGCAGAAACCTATATTTGTGCTTGTTTTCACAAGTATAAAGGAGGATTCCCCATGAGCAGTAAGTGCAGCCTATGAAATGCTGCAAATTCTGCCTGTGATCTTTGTATGTGATTTTTCTATTGGTGCACATCTGACTCCTACCTGAGTCACACCTAGCCATTAACAGTCATTTTCAAGCTTTTTCAGCAATTTCTTTTTGAAGTCTTTGATTTTGTGGGCTGGTGTGACTCGCCCTCCTTCGTGTGCTTCCAGCCCTCTTGTTCCAGTTCTGAAGAGTCTCTCCCGAAACATTAATCTTTCAGATACTGACTGATCTGCTATACATTTCCAGCAATTTCTGTTTTTATAACTGAATGAAGCAGAGTCCAACTTTCTGTCAAGGTTATGACCTTATTTGTGTTCTATGGCTCAATAGCAGGAAACCACACACAGTAAACCTTACACCCCAGCCCGGGGTGAAATATCTGTGAGGAGAGGTATTTATGACAATGGTGGACAAATAGGAAGAATAAAAAAAGTCTTGGTTTTATTGTGTTATTATTATTGTGCCTTCTTGTCCTTGAACCTTCACCTCTACATTAAAATTGACCTTAAAAGATGGGCCAGGACTGAACTGAATCTGTTCTCATGGAAATTAACTCACAGCTGCACCGGAAAGCTGGCAGTTAGTATAATAATAATAATAATAATAATAATGCTTGCATTTGGTTTAGCGGATTTTGCATCATCAAGATTTCTCAAAGTGCTTCACAGGATATACTGTAAAGTGAATTGACTGTATATTTGTGGGTGAATCGCAGCAGCCAATTGCGCACAACAGTGACCCACAAACAGTTGTAGAAGTGACCAATTTATTATTGTTTTTTTTCTTGAGGGATTATTATCAGACGTGTGGAGTAAGGAAATTTGCCCAAGGTTTCACCCTGCCAGGAATTGAACCCAGGAATCCTGCTTGCGAGGCGAGTGCTCTTACCACTGAGCTACAGGACTCATAGTATTCTGATGAGATCAACTGGGCTAAAGAGCTTTCTTCATATGTACTTTATGTCATTTTGTAATCTTGTGAAGTACAAAAAATAGCTGTGATTTTAAGTTCATTATGACATATTTCAGAACCTATTATGACAGGCCATTTGACCCAATGGTGTTGTGCTGGTGTTCATACTCCTCATGAGCCTTCAAGCATCCTAATCCCCTCTCCATCATCAATGCAATGAGTTTGGTCAAAGTGACAAATGACATTCTGTTCATCTGCGACCAGGGCTCCCTCTGCCTCTTCATCCTCCTTGACCTCTCTGCTGCCTTTGACACCGTTGACCTCTCTATCCTCATTCACCGCCTCTCCTCTCACCTCAACCTTCACGGCTCTGTCCTTGACTGGTTCAGATCCTACCTCTCACACCGTCTCGTGATGTTCCTCAGGGCTCTGTCCTTGGTCCCCTCCTCTTCAGTATCTATATGCTCCCTCTTGGTGACATCATCCGCAGACATGGGGTCAACTTCCACATGTATGCAGATGACACCCAACTCTACCTCTCTGTCTCCATCCTTGACTCCAGGACCACTGCTGTCCTGACAGAATGTCTGTCAGACATCAAGTCCTGGATGAGAGCTAACTTTCTTCAGTTGAGTATCAGCAAGACCGAGGCCCTCCTGATTGGCTCCTGTCAGTGCCTCCTCATCCCATAGTTGCACACTCCACCTTGCTAAGCCAGTCTGGAACCTTGGCATCTTGTTTGACCCTCAACTATCCTTCCTACACCACATCTGCACCATGACTTGCTCTGCCTTCCCCCACCTCCACAATATTGCCCGGCTCCTCCACTGTCTCACACCACAGACTGCCGAAACCCTCATTACATCAAGGCTTGTCAGCCTCCCCAACTCCTCCCTCCATTAGCTGCAGATCATCCGGAACTCTGCAGCCCGTGTCCTCTCCCGCTCCATGATCCTATCAAGCTCATCCTCGCCCGACTCCACTGGCTTCCCATCACGCAGAGGATACAGTTCAAGATCCTGGTCCTCACCTTCAAAGCCCTCCATGGTCTTGATCCCCCCTACCTCTGCGACCTCCTAACCCCCTACCATTCTGCTCACTCCCTCCGCTCAGCGGCTCTGGCCTGCTTCACGCCCACCACCTCGCCCCACTATTGGCGGGTGGGCCTTCTGCCATTCTGCCCCCATTCTCTGGAACTCTATCCCGCAATCCCTCCACCATGACTCCTTCCTTGCCTCCTTCAATACCCGTCTCAAGTCCCTCCTCTCCGACTGCTATTGATCTCCCTACTGGGAAGGTATTTTCAATAAAAAAAATTCTCTCCATGTATTTTATATTAAAGGTATATTTCTTTAACCTCTACTTTCCTGGTGAAAGAGAGCCGTATTTTAAAGCAGTTTTAGCAGCCGGAGACAGGAATTGCTTAAAGAGAGGCAGAGTTTATGTCAGTTATAGAGTTCCATCAATGATTAGCTCCAATGGGCAGCACTGATCCGCAACCTCAATGCTAATCTGGACCCATAAGTCCTTTTCAAATTCAGATGATTAGCTATCTACCAGCATCCTGACCTAAAAGCCAGGCTTTTGCGTAGGTTGGGGGGAATGCATCAAATTATCAGTCGTTGGCAGCAGTTTTGTCACTCCAATGCTTTGGGAATAGGTAATATACAATATAGGTAAGAAAAGAACTGTCACGATTCTGTTGGCAACACACAAAAAGAAAGTGGAATTTTACATCCCACATGAGGGAGTGGTCCAAAAAAATGTCAAGTTAATTTATAAGAGGAATGAAACAGTTTGTGAACATGGGTGAATTCACAACACTGTCAGGTTTCTGTGGGTAAACTGCTTTGCTGGTGAAGTTGTGACTTCACCTCTGACATAAGTCACCTATAATAATAATAATCCTTGCATTTGATATAGCGCTTTTCACGTCGGGAGGACGTCCCAAAGCGCTTCACAGAACACACTAAAGTGAATTGACTGTATATTTGTGGGCGAACACGGCAGCCAATTGCGCACAGCAATGTCCCACAAACAGTCATATGGATTGAAAATGACCAATTTATTATTGTTTTTTTTTTGGAGGGATTATTATTAGGAGTGTGGAGTAAGGAAACTTGCCCAAGGTTTCGCCCTCCCTGGAATTGAACTCAGGTCTCTCGCTTGCAAAGCAAGTGCTCTAACCACTGAGCCACAGGACTCTAAACACAATTATACGCGAACACTATAGCACATAAACAGGTTATTCAGCCAAACTAGATACTCTGCATGAGCCTCCTAATCCTCTCTCCCATTCCCCTCCATTCTCTTCACCTTCATGGATTTTCTGACTCCACACAACTGTTTGTGGGACGCCGCCGTGTGCAAGTGGCAGCCAATTTCACAGCCTCGTAACTTCACAGTGGAGACACGAGGGCTGGCCTCAGTCTCCTTGAGGAGGGGAAAAAATCCTGGTGTTTTCTGCTCCTGATCACTGTCCCATGACTCCTGCTGGAAATTGTGTGTGTTTGTTAGCCTATAGAGTGAGCGTCTTAAGGGGCTGTGATACCTTTTACGGTTGTTGGTGCTCTGGAAACGAATGCTAGCTTTAGGACAGGAGAGCTGGTGGTCTAGAGACACCAAATAACACTGATGAATCCAATGCATGTGTGTGTGTGATTCACTCCCTTTTCCTCCTTCAATATCTGCGGCTCTCTGTCTACATGTATGGGGTTGTTTGACTTCCCAGTGACCTGCTCCCAGGGATGTCCCCATTCCAGCCACCTCCTTGATCAACAACCCAGGTTGGTGGCTCAAAGGTGTGCACAGAAAGGAGAGCAAATAAACCTCTCTCTGGCTCTCTCTATACACACACACACACACACACACACACGTACTCTGCATATGACAAGTACAAGTGTAAACGATTGAAGCCAAACCATGGGGGCTGACGTCAGGCCAGTTCCCTCCCTCTTTGGTACCTGTAGGAATGAGAGGAACCCAGAGACACACACACACACACACACAGGGGAGCCCGGAGCAGTGGCAAAGCTGAGACACACACAGACTGGGACCAGGGATAAGAGACAGTGACAGCTGATTCCTCTCAATACAAATGCCACTGCTGGGGGGGGGCACATCAACACAGGCTTCACTTGCACTCCCTCCACTGCATGTGCTGTGTGTGCATGTATGTGTGTGTGTGTTTGTGTTGGGGGGGAATTCCTTGCATTTGCTTATTGCAAATCTAATTTGGAAAACTGGAAATGGCCAAAAGGTGCATGAATGAGAGTCAGCGCAGGTGATCCCTGCTAGCAGGTTGGATCTGTAACCTCCAGGGGATATTGTTTGGCAGGAGTTCAAGGCTTGTGGTTTTTGCACAAAAAAAAGAAACTTTTTTTTGATTTTTGCTTCGAAAGGGAACTGTTTGTGGATCTCATCGTGTGCTTAAAAAAAAACACCCCCCCACACACACACACACACACACACACACAAAAGTGTTTTTGTTTTTTTTTGGAAAAAAAAAGGCAATTTATTTTTGTCTCAGCAATTTCCGGATGGAAGAAGGAGAGCTGAGACTCCGCTCCCTTTTCCACGCCTGTGATGTGAATCGTTCGGGTCAGATCGAGTACGATGAGTTTTTCACGGTGTGCAGAGAGCTGCAAGTGCAGGACTCGGAGATCGACAGCATCTTCCACAAGTTGGACGCCGACAGAGACGGATCCATCAACTTTCAGGAGTTCACTGAAGGCTTCGAGGAGGTTTCCGAGATGATCAACTTCCAGGCTCTGAAGGCTGAACACGACTGGGATGAATTCCTGCAAAGGCTGGGGGGGGAAGCCAGCTTCATCCCCAGGTATGATCCCTCAGAGAGAACTGCATCTGTGAGCAGGGCAGAGCAGGCAGTGTACAAACCATAATAATATTAATCATCATCCTTGCATTTGATGTGGCACCTTTTCCTTAAAAAAGGACGCAAGATCTTACCTTGAGTGGACATCCGTGCGTAGAGTCGCGATATAATTATAATATCAAACACTAATAATCTGGTCCCGCGCCGCATCACGTCTCCGAGACGTCTCGAAGCGCTTCGCAGAATACACTTTGCGGTGTGTTCTGCGAAGCGCTCTGGGACGTCCTCCCGACGTGAAAGGCGCTCTATCAAATGCAAGGATTATTATGTTGTGACGTGGATTGACTGCCTGTTTTGCGGGAGAAACGCCGCAGCCAGTTGCGCACAGCAGTGTCCCACCGGCAGTCGTTGATTGAGGGATCAGTTTTTTTTGTGATAAGAAATGTGATATCTCCAATAATAATAATAAATAATAATAATTCCACATATGGGCACATAATAATATGGGTGTGTCGCCCAGAAGTTATACAGTCAATTTACTTTACAATATATTCAGTGAAGCATTTGAGATGCCGCGGTGATGTGATAAGACGCTATATCAAATACAAGGTTTATTATTATTATTAATGATAATTGTTGGATTTGATATAGCGCTGTATCACGTCGTTTGAGGCGTCTCAAAGCACTTCGCAGAATATATTGTGAAACGGATTGACTGCTTATTTTGTGGGTGAAAAGCGGCAGTCAATTTCGCACAGTCGTGGATTGAATGAGTGACCAATTTTTTTGGGGGGTGGGCGGAGGATTTAATCACCTGCTGTATATCTGTGAGCTGTTTTACGAGCATAAAGCTGGGGGTGGTTTGAGAGAGAAACTTGTTTCTTGGTTGGACATGCAAACAGTTAACTTGAAATGGTGCGGATAATGGGAGGGAGAGAGGGAGGGAGGGAATGACAGACTCAACTGAGGGGCTGGAGTTGAGCAGGGTGATCGTTTTACAGCAGAAATATTTAAAGCCTACAAGTCTATCATTCTGAGTTATACCCATATATAGGTTTATAGATGGAGGTTTTTTTCTCTACTTGTGCTTTACGTACTGGCCTATTATTATATAAATTTATACACCAAACCTGCACCTATATTCTCCACGATTCAATCAACAGCTTGCTTCGCTGGAGGGAGAGAGTGCACACTCTGTACCAGACTAACAGAAACTGTACATAATGTGGAACTTTTAGTTGCTTGATTTGGAGACTCGTAAGCACAGAGATTGTTTCCACTTGTGTTAGACACCTGACTGACCAAGAAAAAGCAGACAAACATAACAACGCTGTTAGAATTTCCATGGACCTGTTCAACTCTACTCTGGAAGTAGATTGAAGTATATGACTGAAGTACCATGAAGTGTATCTGGTTGTAGAAGGAGTCTTCATTTATATGGATCAATTTCTTATTAAGGAATCCTATCCATAAATACTGCAAATTAGAACTCATTATTAACTTTAACAACAGTAGAATAATATAACTGTCAATAATATTAACAATAATTTTCCTTGCATTTAATGTGGCCTTATAGCTTCATGAAAACTTCTCAATGGTTTTCACAGGATTTACTGTAGAGTTAGTGATGCGTGTTTGTAGGTAAACACAGTGATATTTGCACACAGCAATGTTCACAAACAGCCACTAAATAAATGACCAATTTTTATCTGGGAGTTGCTGGCCAGACAGCAAGGGAAATACCCTTCTCTTTTTAAATAGTGCTGAGAAATCTTAACATCCGATAGCAAATCTGATGGGAACTGGACAATTCCTCTCTCTGGTGCTGGTCTTGCTGATGGTGATCAACAGTGATGGGTCCGCTCCAGGCGACAGCTCATATGCATGTTGTGAACTGCTAGGCATCGATTAGCCCCCTTTAGCCTTAATTCTTCAGGGAAAAGTTGAGTTAAGCCAGTTTTCCATGAAATGGCATATAACATAAGTGACATGGAGGATGGTACTACTGATAATGCTGCCGTGCAACATTTGTCAATGAAATGAAAGGAAGACTGCCTACATTAGTAATACACACCAATGAATAGAAAATAAAATTATTTACAGTTTTGGCCACTCTGACTTCAAAAGGACATTTTGTTACATTTCACTTAAATGATATCTTTAAAATATGTTTTGACTTAAAATCCTGCTGACTTTTGAATAAAGGTAATGCCCAAACTCTGCTGAGAAGCCTTGGGATCACCTCTTGGATTGCCACTTAGTGGAGAATATTTTCGAGAACCAAATGATTCTTTGTGTTCATTCAGAAGACGCTGACTTAACTTGGTCTGATTTTGAGCAGTATTTCATGAATAAGTCCGACAAAGCTGTTTTTCAAATGGCAACGGAGCACCTTGACAATGGATGATCAAAGCTTCACTGAGGGTTTAAGATCAGAAATGGCCTCTTTTTGTATTAGTTTTCTGTTGTTTTTGCCCCCGCAGTATAAACAGGACATTTTTGCACAGTGAGACACTCAGATTGTATTGCAGAACCACTTCTTGAGTATACTTATGAAGATACCTTTTAAGTTCTATGGTTCTAATATTTGAATCAGCCTGGCTCAGTTGACAGCACTCTCACCTCTGTGTGGTTGTGGATTCAAGCCCAACATCGGGACTTTGAGCTCACAGTCTAGGCTGGTAGTCTAATACAGTGTTGGGGGAATGCTGCATTGTTGGAGGTGTTGACCTCCAGATGAAACGTGAAGCCGATGTCCCATTTATCGGTTCAGGTAGATATTAGTGATCTCGTGGCACCATTCAAAAAGAGAAGGGAATTTTTTCTCCCAGTGTCTTGGAACAACAAACTCCCAGCCAAAATGGGTCATTCACATCATAACTGTTTGTGGGACACTGCTGTGCACAAATTGACTGCTGGGTTCACCTACAAAACACACAGTCAGTACACTTTAAAGTAAGTCCTGTGAAATCCTTTGAGATGTCCACCTGACCTGAAAGATGCTATACCAAATGTAGGATTACTATTATTAATCTTTTCCTAAGTTTGCGACATTTCGACAACAACAACAACAATTTGGATTTATATAGCGCCCTCCACGCCGGACGGTGTCTCAGAGCGCTTTACAGTAACGGATCCCAGGGCCGAGCCAGGGGGAGGGGGAGGAAGGTGACCAAAGGCGCGGTCGAAAAGAAAGGTCTTCAGCAGAGACCTGAAAATGGGAAGGGAGGGAGCGAGGCGAAGGGAGTGAGGAAGGCAGTTCCAGAGCCTCGGGGCATAGTGGTTGAAGGCACGAACACCAAAAGTGGAGTGGAGGACTCGGGAGACGAGGAGGAGGCCAGACCCGGAGGAACGAAGACAACAGGTACTGTTTTGAGGAGTGCAGGGACTTGAATACAAGGGTGAGGGATCTTGAAATTGATCCTCTCTGGGATAGTCAGCCAGTGCAGTCTGGCAAGGACTGGGGTGATCGGGGAGCGGAGTTTGCTGCGGGTGAGAATGTGGGCGGCAGAGTTTTGAATTATTTGGATTTTATGGATGGTAGTGGATGGGAGACGCGCGAGGAGGGAGTTAGATTAGTCCAGCCGAGAGGTGACAAAGGCATGGACCAGGGTTTCAGTGGCTTTTGGGGAGAGGTATTGGCGGGCGATTCGTCAGAGGTGGAAGAAAGCAGTGCTGGTGAGGGACCGGATGTGGGGGAGGAAGGATAATTGGGTGTCAAACCGGGTTTGGAGAGTTTTAGGGGGAGGTCGAGTAGGTGGAGGAGGTGAGAGCCATGAGATTTTAGACGTTGACGAGAGCCAAAGAGTATGGCTTCCGTCTTGTCAACATTCAGCTGAAGACATAAGGAATGCTATATCAAATACAATGCTTATCATTATTAACCTTTGGAAAGATGAATAATGCAGATATAAGCTTAATTATGTAAGTGCTGATGGCAGAATAATAAGACATCTGTATGAATTTAGAAAGCCTCAAGCTGGGCCAGAGATCCCTAAAGCGAATAATAATAATAATATTAATATTTGCATTTGATATGTCACATCGTCAAGTTATCTTAATGCACTTCACAGGATATACTATAAAATTATATAACTGCATGTATTTTGTGGGCGAACACGACAACCAAAGTGCACACAGCAATGTCCCATCAACACAATTTTATTTGGGGGATTGTTGACCAGGGCACAGGGAGAAATTCTTTTCTCTTTTTGAGTAGTGCCCTGGGATCTTAGATTCATAGAATATTACAGCGCAGAAGGAGCCCATCATGCTTGTGCCAGCTCTTTGGAAGAGCTTCCCAATCAGTCCCACTCCCCTGCTCTTTCTCCATTTCCTTACAATTTTTTCCTTTTCAAATAACTATCCCTTTTGCAAGTTGTTATTGAAAGCTATTACTACCACCCTTTCAGGCAATGTATTCCAGACCGTAACAACGCTGTTTAACGTCAACCAGAACAGGCAGATATGACGGAGGTTTAATTTTGCATCCAAAAGACGCAATGGGAAGTGAATAGAAGATCAAGATGTTATATCTGATGTAGCTAATATTGGGGTCTGATTTGTGTATTTCATAATAAGGAATCTGAATGCAAATGTGGAACTCCTTCAGTATACAACGTTGTCTTATGGGAACTGTACTTTCAGCCACTATGCCCCGAAACTGTGGAACACTCTCCCTCAACCCCTGAGCCTTGCCCCCTTGCTCCCCTTTTTCAAGTCCTGAAAACGTTCCTCCTCCACCTCCGCCCAACACCCCACCCTGCTCAGAGTCAGGCTCTACTATTGCTAAGTGCTCTGAGATGCTACCTTGCTTGGAGGGCGCTATGTAGGTTCAAGTTGTTGTTGTTGTTGTACTCTGACTCACTATCTCCAATGTGGCATTTCTCGGGCCAACTGGAATTCTTCCTTTATTAAGGAATTCCTTTAAGACAATACAGCCCCCAGTGTATCAATAACCTCCTTTAAAAAGGAACTGGACAAACACCTTTATAGGAGGTAGTGGTGCAGTACTGTACAACAAGAGTTATGTGAGTATCATCAAGGAAACAAAGAATTGAAACATGTAGATTGTGTCATTAGATTGATGCCCTTCAATGGTTAGAGGTTTCCTCATTGTTTCTATAAGTTTGGAAATGACTATTGCCTCCCCTGCTTTATTAGGGTATTTTGAGTCTGGCAGTGCAAATTGTTCCTAGTCAGGTAGAAAGAGTGAGTTACATGTGCCAAATTGTTTTTCTTGTTCTGAACTTTATGTACTCCATGCCTATGTGACATTTGTGTGTGGCTTGATTTTGGTACATGGAGCAGTTTATCAGAAAATAGTTCCATCTGAAGCAAAGAAACTTTAGAAAACTCATGTGTTGGAATAGATTTTCTTTTTGTCAGTAAATTTACCATCATTAACTGGTGATAGGTTTTTCCATGAGGTAAAATTACTGACTAGTGGAAAATCCATTGCAATGTTTTATTGAAATTGGGCTTACGTTTTGTAAATATCTTAAGAAACTTACGCTAATAATCACACACTACATCAGGATTTAGTGTAAAGTATGATGTTCACACCATGATCCCAAAACAATTCAGAAACATTGAATGGGATGGGCCTGTAGTAAATCCGAATTGACACGTTCCTGGAAAGAAATCCTGTCGGACCAGCACTCCCGCAGGTCGGCCTGATGCACTTTCGATATTTGTGAATCCTTTTCAAATCCTGTTGAGAAAACTATATTTTAGACCTAAATGTGTGATCCTTTTTCAAACTCGTCATTTCACTTGAGGCTTGAAGAGCCCATGACTGCCTGGGATATGTGTTGTTGACTCACGACTCACCTCTGGAGGAACTCAGAGATCAGATTAATTCACTTGGTTCTATTGTTAATAAATTACTTTTGTTCGGTTGTAGACAGACTTAAGAATGAATAATAAAAATATCTACCTCTGAAATAACTGCTGATGTTACTTACCTCTGAGATTGAGATGATTTCAGAACATCCATTCAATTGGGTGTCATATTTACCAGTAGTAAGCGCTGACCAAAAGAGTTGATCCAGAATCATTGTCACAAGTGGTCAAAATATAGTATTATATAGTATTGTTCATGCACCTTTTTCAATGGTGTGGACTCCCAAGTTGATACCCATATGCAACAAGATCAGAAATACTACAGGGAGCAGGCCGTAGATTTATCATTTGAAATGACTGGAACGGACACATAGGTCTTAAAACAGTTAACCTTGATAACTGGAATTCCCCCAAACAAGAACATAAAGCAGGGATTAGCAGAATGAGTATGTACAAGATGTACAAGATTAAGTTTTCAAAAGTTGAAGGATTTTTTTATGATTGCTGTTTAGTTTTGAAGCCCAAAGAGCACTTGGAACAGTGAGGTGAAGCTGTAGTTTTATGTTTGTTGCCATAAAGTATAGCTGTAGTACCTAAAAGGATAACTCTTTGTGGCTGATTTTTTTAATTGTGTTCCTTTCTGTTTAGGGAGCAATGAGGAACTATCCTATTCATTGCTGCAAGGTGAATTCCGATCACCTTACCTATTTCATTTCTCAGCTAGTGTTCCACCATGCCTTACTGAAACAATACCTATTCTGTGTTTTAATACAATATAGGGCTCTGTGGAGTAAATGCACCAGCATGAACAAATTGGGTCAAATGGCCTTTTATTGGCACTGTGGAGTCTATATAATTTATGCAATCCTATGTATTTAAAACAATTGTAATTTTGACCCCATTATTTTTAAATGGTATTTGTTGAATGTTCATGGTACAATATCCGTTTGTACCATGAATTGCCAATTGTACAATGGCCAATATGTAAGTGCTGTACAACCATTGGTTAGTAACATCTGTTGCAGTTGTATATACCACTTAAATGGCAGATAGCAAAAAGTTAAGTGTACAAAATGAGCAGGGACAGTCACTGGGACAGTCACTGTGTAGTACAAGCAACTCTGTCTTTCATTGCCATTTTTCTTTGAAAATTTTCAATTGATCCCATTTTTGTTTGCTAGTTCATGTTGCTTGCATTTACAAAATTTCACTTTGAATAGATTTACACCTATGCTGTCTTTAAGATTCTAAAGCGGCAAGACAATATAGTTCATGACAGGCTGTTTCAACTTGTTCAGAATAGTAAATCGCACGGCCTGCGATTGAAGGGGGGTAAATTCAGAACAAATCTACTCAAACACTATTTCAGTGAGTGAATAGTGAACCCGTGGAATAGGCTCCAAAGGGAGATGGTTGAAGCAGGAAGTGTTGATTCTTTCAAACACAGATTAGATAGTTTTCTTTTAGGAAATAACATTATGGGATATAGTACGTAGGTAGTTCGGGACATATGTGCATGCGACCGCCAGGAACGTGGAAGGCAAACGTCCACCTTGGTCTTTTTTCATCGCATTTCTTATGTTCTTATGTACGTGGACTACGGTACGAAACCATTCGGCCCACCCAACTGGTGTTCATACTCTGCATGAGTCTCTACCCTCTCCTTACTCCCTCTCATGACCTTCTATTCCCTTATCCTTTATGTGTATATCTATTTTCCTCTTAAATGCATCTATATCATCTGCTTCAAACATTGCTTTGGGCAGTGAGGTCTATGTTCTCATGATTCTCTCACAAACTTCTAATAGGATTCCTCTTAAATGTCTGTTCTTTAGTGAAAAATGGCCTAGTCTATCCGGTGTATCCTGATAGCAGTAACCTGCCAGCCCTGATATCATCCCAGTAAATGTATGCTGTACTCTTTCCTTTGTGCAATATTCTTCTGGTAGTGTGGTGACCAGAATGAAAAGCGAGGGATGAATGTTTGTGGAATTTTCCTGCAGCTTCCTCTGCACAAGCTTCAGTCAGTTGGTTGTTTTTACAATCCTTTGCTAAGAAAATACACTGTATGGTATACAATGCTTGAGGAGAAGGCTGACCCCTTGTGTCCTCAGGGAGAATAACTCCTTCAAGCAACCACTTTCAGGAATGATGAGAATTGTTGTTCAGAAATCCGGATAAACTACAATTGTGAGATCTATAATGTCCACCTTTACAGGCAGCAATCGCCAGGTATTAATGTCTCAATCAAAGGAAGAACTATCTCTGGAATTATAGAGCGCTCCCAGTATAATATTAGAGCATTAGCCTAGACTGTGAGCATTCAGTACGCTTGGTGATAATGGCATGTGAAACACTTAGGGATTTTAATTTGATTAGATACCATAAAGATGCCATTTCTATTTTTATTATCTTCTAATAGAGAGTGAGCCTCATTGTTTGGAAAATGAATAAAAGTAGCAAGTTATTTCATAATATACACCTTTTATAAAATATTCTGTTTTGTTCCTTTCATTGCAGTCAATGTGTTTTAAGCAGTGATTTCCCTCCTCCCACCTTCACAGCCCAAGGGTGCACTGTAAAGACCAATTGTAAAGTCTCTAATAATACCATGGATGAGACCATCTAACTCATCATAGATTGCCCCAAGGGTCTTGGTTGATTGCTCTTGTTATTTTTCTGGTTTTTCCTCTTGTAAATAATAAGAATCTGGCTTTGGAGAGAGCAGAAAAAAACATTATAATTGCGCTGGGAAAGATAAGTGTTAAAAGAGCCATTTGTGCCTCCTTGTGTTCCAGCATATACTATATAAAGTGGTTTCATAATGCGCGTGGTGCTCTTTCTGTCTCGCTGCACTAAAATCTAATGTCATCACAGGGTTATTCCCAGTACTTTTCCTTCTTACAACATCCCGTGTGCTCCATTGAACTTCTCTAGCAAGAGGCTGCCTGTGAATTCTGATGGGTGGAATAACCAGCATGAATTGCACTTATAATTTTAATGACACAAACTAATTGTGTGTGGCTTTAAGTTACGTGGCATTTATACTGCATGCTTAACTGTAATTGGTGCAGAGATTCACCACTAAATATGAAGTGAAAATGAAAATTTCACTGTACATGTTGCACTCCTGACACCTTGGAGGATATGGTTTCCCAAACACAGGTTAAACATGTGACAATTCTCCTTTCAAAGCCTGGAAATGTTAGGAGATTGTCTCTCTAATAACATTAACTATCTCTTTTAATATCATTTAATACTCTGGATGAACCTCCTAATCTCCTCTCCTATGCCTCTCTAATTTCTTCTCCCTCATGTATGCATAATGTTTCCTCTTAAATACCTTGAACCTTTCTACTTTAACCACAGCTTCAAGCAATGAGTTCTACATCCTCACTGGTTGATAACTATATGGACTTATCCTTGATAATATCCTAATGAATCTATGCTGTACTCTATTGAATACTACAAGTTAGGTGTCAGCTTGGCGCAGTCGATAAGTCACTCGCCTGAGTCAGAAGGTTGTGCGTTAAAGCACCACATAGGGATTTTGGACTCGCAGTCTAGACTGACACTCCAATGCAGTCCTAGGGTATGCTGCATTGCTGGAGGTGCCATCCTTTGAATGAGACGTTAAATCCGAGGTCTCAGCTGCTTATTCACTTGGACGTTAAAGATCCCATAGGACTATTCGAAAAGAGAAGGGAGTTTCTCGTGACGTCCTGGCCAACAATCTCCCAGATAAAGTTAATTATTTCACTTCTTGCTGTTTGTGGAATATTGCTGTATGCAAACTGTCTGACTCTGCCTACAAAATATTGTCACTACACTTTACTGTACATCTTATGAAGCATTTAAGACATGCTCCTGCTGTGAAAGGTGCTATATCAAATGCAAGGAATATTATTATTATTGTTACATCTGCCCTGAGGTTGGCAAACATAACTGCACACATTACTCCAAATATAGTCTAACCACAATGTTATGTAAATTTAACAATTGTTGTTGTAGTTGGATTTCCCTTATTTACTTTATCTGATAATATTTCAAATAATTTGATAAGGTTGGTCAAGCATCACCTTCCATTTATTAATCAAATGCTGGCTGCTTTTAATGAAACTCTTTTATTTCCGTTTAGACCTCAACAAGTTGCTGCCTTATATCAGAATCTGCAGACAGAGCCCATCCTGATCCATAAGTATGAATGTGTCATCAAAGACTTTATTCGGGACATCATACTGCAGAATGCAGAGATGGAAAAACTAGCGTTTGCTGTGAAGAGGTAGGATTTCCAGAAAAATTGACATCAAAAAAACTGCACGTGATACATTCCAGAATTAGATGAACAACTGCAAGATGTGCCTGTTACACATCGACTTTACAAAATAGTCCTTTTGTAAATGTCTTTTTATATAATTTATCCTTTCTGACAGAAAGCAAACCTTGTCCTGTCACGGGGAAGCTGTTGTTGGCAAACACACGACTCTCTCCACATTCGCACACATGGGACTGTAGTCACTGGGTTACTGTTTGGGCATAAGATGCCTCAAACTGACTCCAATGTCCTGTTTCAATTAACTGACCCGAAGAAAGGGACAAAATCTTGCTCATGTTAAGTGCAGTGATCCTGATCATGTGCAGAATACTGGTGGCAGCAGAAGTCTTCAATGCCGCTACATTTAGTGATATGAGGCATCTTACCTCAGAACTGCAGCTCGGTGACCCCCTTCCCATGTGTGCACATGTGGAGAGAGTCGTGTGTGCACATGTGGAGTGAGGTGTGTTTGCATGTGTGGAATAAGGCGTTTGGCAGAGATTAAGTTCCATCACATTCTACCTATTGGGTGTTTGCAGAGCGCAGGATGAAGCCTCACAGCAGCTGAGTGAGCTGGAGGAGGAGATCGACCAGAGGATAAAGACAGCGGTGCAGAACACTCAGAAGGAGGTGAGTCTTACCAACGTTTCATCTCCTCCTTCTAAACACAGTCTTAATGTTTAAGTCTTTATTCTGAATGTTTAAGTCTTTAACTTTTACGCCCTTATTTTGAGAAATAGCCTGAGTTCTGAACATGTAATCCTGACGTAATATTGAGTATTTTACAACTGTATAATGGAGTCCTGTAGCTCAGTGGTTAGAGCACTCGCTTTGCAAGCGAGACACCTGGGTTCAATTCCAGACAGGGCGAAACCTTGGGCAAGTTTCCTTACTCCATACGCCTAATAATAATCCTTCCAAAAACCCAAAACAATAATAAATTGGTCATTTTCAATCTACGACTGTTCGTGTGACACTGCTGTGCGCAATTGGCTGCCGCGTTCTCCCACGAATATACAGTCAATTTACTTTACAGTATATTCTGTGAAGCGCTTTGGGACGTCCTCCCGATGTGAAAAGCGCTATATCAAATGCAAGGATTATTATTATTATTATAATACGTGCAAATTGGCTGCTGCGTTCTCATACAAAATACAATCTCTGCACTGCACAGTGAATCCTGTCAAGCGCTTTAAGACTCCCTTCTGATGTGATAGGCGCTATATCAAATGCAGGACTTTTTGCTTCTTTCCTTATTTAAAGACCATGTGACCGATGGGGGTTCATTCTCTGTCCGTCAGTAGATTTATTGACTTTGGAATTGTGTGAACACGTGCTCGGCCCACTTTAAGTGCATGACACCAAGGTTGGCAAATTTACTGGCAAGCAGAGAATAACTCAATGAATGAGTAAAATGTTGTTTCACACCTGTATTATATATATTTATTATATTGGGGGCTTTCCTCAAGAGGAAGCTGGATTAAAACTTTCAACTTGTGGGTTTGTCTTTGCAAGCCCATGTTTATAATTTTAGTTCTTGATCCTACTTAAAGTTATTTTCTTTCTTCTTCATAACTTTCCTATCCATGAAAATAGAGTGGGGGGTGGTGGGGTTGGGGGGTGTGCTCTTTGGCAGCTTTGAGTTCTGCTCAGGAGTGGGTAAGTGTGCTCTGTGCTCTGTCTTTACCTGACTGTGTATCTGAGATTAATGGCCAGGCAGCCAGGAGAAGAGAGAGTTATTGGTTTACTCAGTTTCCAATGATGGATACAAGGGGCTGAAGCCTGTAACACAAACGACCATGTATATTATTCATCATTTCATCTTACTCACACTTCAAATGGTCTGAATTTACTTCCCCAGGAACAGAGGAAAGCGGAGTCTGAAATCAATGAGCTAAAACGCCAATATGATGCTGAAGTGAATGAGCTCCAGAAAACAGTAACCAAACTGAAGAAGGTGAGCACACTCCTCCAGCACTCAATGGGAGGAAACAACCCAGACTAGGCTCAGAGAGGAACCATGTATTAAAACTTAAACCAAGGTCCTGTTCAGGTGGAAGTCAAATGGCACTATTTGAAAAGAGCAGGGAATTTCCCCCAATGTCCATCTCTAGGTAAAATTTGGTCAGTCTCTTCATGGCTGGTTGTAGGAGACTGCTGTGAACAAAATAGCTCCTATAAATGCACTTTACAGTGAATCCTTGGAAGCATTTTGAGATGTGTGGATGGCGTGATAAGGCAGTACATTAATGCAAGGATTATTCAACTTGCGGCTTGTTTTTATTCAATAATATCCTGGTCAGTCTTGAAATAGGTCACTTCTTCTCTTACAGTTAGAAGAACAATATAGGACACTTAGTCCAAAGGAGGACACCATTGCATTGAAAAGAAAAATGAATGACTTTACTATGGTAAGTAGGTTCATTGTAAGGCAGCACAACTCTCACTGTTTATTCCTTTGTAAACTGGAGCACTGCTTAGCACCTCAAAAGTCAAATAAAAACATTAATGTTGGCAATTAATGTGGGATGTTCGTGACAATATTTGGAATGAAACCTCGTTGCACTGTTCTATAATCATTTACAAGGGGGACTGGATGTGGCACTGGGCTGGAGCAGTATATGCTCCATGCCACTGTCAGGGTGAAATCTTGGGCAAGTTTCCTTACTCCCGTGCCTAATAATAATCCCTCCAAAACAAAACAATAATAAATTGGTAATTTTCAATCCACGACTGTTTGTGGGACACTGCTGTGCGCATTTGGCTGCTGCGTTTTGCCCACAAATATACAGTCAATTCACTTTACAGTATAATCTGTGAAGTGCTTTGAGATGTCTAGAAGATGTGAAAAGCTCTCTATCAAATGCAAGGATTAATATTATTATTATCATCATCTCTGGAACATGCGTTTGATTCCAATCAGATGGATGGGTTGAAGCGTTCTCTGAGCATGACTGTTGAGATCCCATGTGAAATGACTGTGCACATGCTTAAATAGTGGGGTTGTGCCCACAACACAAAATTGCTCCTACCGTTGCAATCTAATACCTGAAAATTTCTTGTGGTCTTGGTCTTAGTCTTAAGATTTTGTCCTTGAAAAACATGTAAGATCATGCAGATTTTTGGAAAACATTTAATTCAGTATTAAATCGATGGAACTGACTTTCAGATCAAAGTAGAATTTAAGAATCATCAAGATTCAACAACAACAACAAAATTATATTTATAGAGCGTAATTTTGTTGTTGTTGATGTTGAATCTGGATGTCCCAAGGCGCATGATACCTGTGGAATCTGAATTTTAAAACAATGTCTTTAATATGACCAGGAACGTGGCACTTCCAGGCCTCTGACAAGGTTAAGGTTACAGGATAGCAGAAGCCTGAAAATATACCGCCCCTTATTATTATTATGATGATGTGAGGTACCATTTAAAAACTCACTATTAAGGACAATCACCAAACCTTACTAGTAAGGTGCCGTTGTCATTGAGTTTGAGTATTTGATGATTGGAGGACTGTGACACTCAGATAACGATTGATTCCCTCCTGTTATTAGGAAAACCAGACCCTCAAGAAAGAACTCCTTGAAGCACAAACTACAATCATGTTGCTTCAGAGCGAAGTGGACACCGTGAAAAGTGATTATGCGGATCAGAGTATGAATTTAGAAAGGTAAAATAAACCCTTTCAGGAATAGAAATCGGCTTTCACTTAAAGAGCACTCATTGGAAATGAAAGATGTCAGTGGTGTCTAACTCACTTTGTTTGTACTTCCACTGCAGGGACCATGACATTATCAGAGACTACACAGATGACAGAGAAAGTTTAACCCGACAAATTGAGATGCTTCAGTGAGTGTTTCTTGTTATCTACGGACACACTACACACTCACTTTAGTTACACGTGTACTGGGGAAGTGTGACTGTGTGTGTGGGTGGGGGGTGTGGGGAGGGGAATAATTTTATATCATTTGGACTATGTTTTTGTTCCGATTGTGCTGCCTTATAAAGCCACTGTCTGTATCCAGAATTACTTTGCAAGCTGCTTCTGTCTTCATCAAATATTTGGACATTGTTGCCAAATTCATATCAAAATTATTGTTATGTCATGAAAGCATAATTGTTTTCGTTATGACAGAGATGAGCTGTGTGATCTCTGACAGACATGAGCTAATTGTCACAATCTCTCTGGCTGGTTGCTAGCTACTGGAGTGTAGCACTTTCTGTTATTTCATTTTTTTGATATGAGTTACTTTATAGTATTTCAAAGTAAAACCTCAAAACTTATTTTCCTGCAATATCTGATGGAAAATGCAAGACCTCCTTTCCCCCATCACTCCGCTATGGGCTCTCACACATTTCATTCGTCTCTCTCAAATGTTACTTGTGCACGTGTGTGACACAATATTGTATAAAAAGGAAATGGTATTTTCTTGTGATCCTTGGTGCTCACCAACGCTCCTCGCCTTATCATCTTCCCTGTTTCACAGATCAGCCAACAGAAAGCTTCATGACAGTAATGATAGCCTGCGGGCTGTTCTGGAGAACAGTTTAAGCAGAAATAAGTCTCTGGTGAGTGTCTGACACAACATTAGACTGTTGACTTCTGACTGAGGTTGCCCTGGTTGAGAAGCACTGTCTACAGTTTCACCTGTGCTTTTATGTTTTGTATTAGTTCTATTTATTTACTGTATTTTGGAGGTTGTGTACCTCATTTTTTTCCACACATTCCCTTCAAGTCTTCCACCGTCAGTGTTCTCTGTCCCTCGGATGCCATTAATGTGCCAGGGTTTGGAACTAGTTTGAATCTGGTCTCTGAGTGTGAGGCACTGAGTGGAGTGAAGGGAGGAGGAGGGAGGAGAAGTGACTGACAGACTTGTGCACTGATTACACTTTGCGGCATTGAGGAATTTCACTTTTAAGTAAGATTACAGAACATTATCAAGAGGACGCTTTCATCCCATTGGGTTGGGTTGAATCTGAACCCATAACCCAGGAGTGAAAGTGATGTTTTTAACCCTCTTCCCCGGTTATTGTCTTTCTGAAGAAACCAGAAACACTTCTGTGACCAGACTAGAACACAGTGATTTCACAGGGAAACATTATTATTAATAATAATTGTAACCCTTGTATTTGATAGAGAGTCTTTTTACGTCAAGAGGATGTCTTGAAGCACTTCACAGCATTTACTGTGAAGTGCAGTGACTGTGCATTTTCTAGGCATATTTTGTATAAAATAATAAAATCTTCTTCCAATGTTTCAGCGGGTAGCAACCTCCTCCCCAGGACATATCACGTTCAGAAGCACTCCAAAAATAAGTGGATGGCAGTCTCCACAGACTCCGTTATATGACAGGTGAGTGTTAGGCAATGCTTTTCAATGCTGGATTTTCATTTGGGGTGGTCTGGGCTCGTTCCGTTTCAGAAGGAGAACATGTCTGATGATCTTTACAAAGTAAAATATTGTTGCTCATGCTTATCACAGCAAAACAGCTGTGTTTTCTGAATGAGTCATTCACGTGGGCTGTAGAATAATATATTTCTATACATTATTGCATGACTGTTGAGTACACTTATTGTTCATCAGACTGAATGCTTAACACTATGTTGCTATGATCCCACCCCCACCACCTCTCTTGTTGATCTCACCATGCTGCCCATACCTTTCTGAGTTGAGTGGGTGAGCATAATTTCAAAAGGGTCCAAAACGCCATTAGCTTAGGACAGAATTCACGAATATTAAATCCTATACTGTAACTATGCGAGCTCTGCTCCAACATGACCTACCTTCAGCTGAAGCAGAGCTACCATGGGTTGTCATTTTATTATTGGTCAGTCGGGTATCTGACACATGTGGAAACCTATCACCAAATTAGACTGAGAGTTCCACATATGTATACCACCTACATGTAGAAATTTCCCTGTGTATGGAATGGAATGAGCACTCTTTCTGCAGTGATGCGCTCTGCTTACCTAATTCTGGAGAGTATTAGGCGCAGCTTTGTGAGAGCTGAGGCTTGAGGACCCCAGAGTGTCCACTGGGGTACTGCTGGAGTTTAACCAGCAAAAAGCAAGGCTGCATACTCAGAGTGACTCACTTCTGCTTACTGGCATAGGTGAACATTTATGGTTCCAGTATCTATCCAGTTGTTTTGCTCCAAAGAGTTTTGCAAATTCGATCTCACTGAAGAAAAGTGCTCAGGGTCAATATCTAAGCAACGTAGTTTGTTTAGTCGAGACAGTCTCAGCTTATTTATGGAATGCACCCAAAAGCTGAAATAGCTTTATTGACCATTATTGATCGCCATTGCTTTCCTCACCAGGTCGTCCAGATCTTCCTACGTGGATGAAGACCTGGAGTCTCTGGCTCTTTGTGACCCAATGCGCAGAATCAGCTGTGAAGTAGAAAGCCTGACTGAAAGCTGTTTTGACAGTGGATTGTCGACGCTGAGGGATTCAAATGAGTACGATTCCGAGGGTGATTTCAAGCATCAAAGGAATTTTCAAAGGTCACAGTGTGTGCAGGAAGGCTTCGAGGGTGACGCCTCTGACACAGATGTAAGCACCAATATAAACATCGCCACCAGTGGCGGCTTTAGCTGTGCTTTGAATGGCTTTGTTGATTTTGGTCAAAGGAGCCTTTTTCTTAACAGAGGAAAGACTGGACACCAGTGTGTGTTGAATCAGTGGCTGTCCATTCCTGCTGGTTTGGTGAGGTCATTGGCCTTGGCAGTGGCACTCGTCCCTCTCCTGTATTTTTATTCAGGTCAAGAATAATGAGCAGTGCAATCAAACTGGATCTGGGCTTCTTTACAGTGCAGGGATTTACACATCGAGTAATAGGGTGCAGCCTCTGCAGCTGTAGCTTTCTTCAAGAGCACTTTAACTAGGCCCTGAGTGTGAGGCACCTCACAGAAGGCAGAGTGGAGGGAGGAAGGCTTCAAACTGCTAGGTATAGTGACTCACAGAACGTGCACTTACTTAGTGGTATTGGGTAATTTCTCTTTCTTCCTCGCATGGAGGGAGGGAGAGAGAGCTGGGGAATGAGCCCCTCCAGTCTCCCTTGTGTAGTTCTTCTTAGCCAATTAAAGAACAGTGCCCTGAAAATCAAGTGAGTTTTTAAATTAATTCAAAGGCTCCTTTGCCCCAAATCAAGAAAGCTGTTTCAAATGTAAGCACTCAGAGGCGTTACCCCGCATGAAGTGTGCTATACAAATTCAAGATGTTGTTGTTCTTATACAATCTATCATATTTTTTCCGCTATTCCCTATGCCACATAGACCTTCCTAGGCCTTCCAGTAAAATCACACCACTCTGTATAAGAGTTATCACCCTCTCTCTTGAATTTGCAGACACACCATGTCTCCATGGCTTCCCTGGGCAGATCATTCCTCGTGTTGACTGAGTTCTGTTTAAACTGGAACTCGAGACGTGGAATTGTATAACACCTCTGTGTTGGTTACAGTATATGCCTGTTCAGGTGGAATGTTAAATATCCCATGACACTATACAAAAAGAGAAGGGAGTGTCTCCCATTGTCCTGGTCAACAATGCGCGAGATAAATTTGGTCATTAACTTCATAGCTATTTGTGGGACATTCCTATATACAAATTGGTTGATGTGTTTGCTTTCAAAATACTCAGATACTACACTTCATAGCGTATCCTGTGAAGACATCCCTCCCAATAATAATAATAATCCTTGCAATTGATAAAGCACCTTATCAGGTCGTTGAGATGTCTCAAAGGATATACTGTAAGGAGAATTGACAATACTTTGCCAGTGAAACAATGTGAATGATCCTGTATCAATAGCAAGAAGTTTTCTTATAATTGTTGTATTTGTCATTTGTTTGCAGGTCCCTGAAATTCCAGATGAAGGTTCTTTTGGCCACGACAGTGCAGACACAGTGTTGGAGTGGAAACCGTCCCAGCCAGTGAGCCGGAGTAGCTCTGGGGCCTCCTCATCACGACGCTGCATCTCTGCCTTTTCATCAAAGGTACAACAGTCTCTACATAAACAAATAACACATCTCTCCCTTGCCAATTCATGACACAGATTCATTTACCAAATGTATTTCCAGTGTATTGATAGCTAATCTGCTCATGTCTAGGTGCTTGTTTACTGACTATTAAACAGCATCATTTTACTTCAGATTAATCTTATATTATAAAGTGCTTTGAGATTTTTTTTACATAGAAAGCACTATATCAATGTAAATTGTAAATATGGAAATTATCATAGTCCTAGGAGACGTTGAATTATCGGTGGTCCTATCCTTCAGCAGAGATTTTAAACTGAGTTGCCATCTGCCTGTTCAGGTGGATGTTAAAGATCCCATGGCACTGATTGAAAAGAGAAAAGAGTCTCTCCCAATGTCATGGCCAACAATCCCCCCAGATAGAATTGATTGTTTACTTCATAGCTATTTGTAGGACATTCATATCCCAAATACAAAGTCTTACATTTGTTTATTGTAATTCCTGTGAGACACTTTCAACAGCGTGATAAGGTGCAAAATCTAATTCAGGGGTTGTTGTTGTTGTTGTTATTATTATTATTATTATTATTATTATTATTATTATTATTTTTATTATTATAATGCGGCTCCAGCTACCCAAGGCACCTTTTGAAACTGCTGAATCTTTTTTCAGTCTGACAGCACGGATGTGAACCCAAAATTCCCTCAGTCAAACAAAGCCTTCAAGATCGTGCTCGCTGGGGACGCAGCTGTAGGCAAATCCAGTTTTCTTCTGCGACTCTGTAAAAACGAGTTCCGAGGGAACACCAGCGCCACCTTAGGTTTGTTCTCTTCAATTCTATTCAATTCAACAATAACAAATTACCTGTGTGTAGCGCCCTTCATGTTGGAAAGACGTCCCAGGGCGCTGGACAGTCGGGGTTTTTTGGACCCGAGCTGGGAGTTGGGGTCAGGAAGGGTAGAGGGCAGCGGGGCTGGGGCTGGGAGGGTGACCGAAGACATGGTCGAATAGGAAGGTCTTTAGTTGGGACTTGAAGGAGACAAGAAAAAGGGTGATGCAGAGGGATTGCGGGATAGAGTTCCAGAGTGTGGGGGCAGATATGCTGAATGCTCAACTGCCAATGGTGGGGCGGAAAGGGCGGAGGACCTGAAGCAGGCTGGTGTCCAAACTCAACATTCCCTCCTCCTCCTACATCTTCCTGTCTCTACTGCTTTCATTCTCTTCTTCTCTCTGCTTCCTCTCTCTCTCCCTTTCTCCCCGCTCTCTCTCTTCCCTCTCTCTATCTTCCCTTTTTCTTTTCTATCTCCCCTTTTCCTCTCTCTATCCCCCAGGATTATTTTCTATCTCTTCCTCCTCTTCTCTATTTCCTTCTTCCTCTGCCCACTCCCTCTCTTCCCATCCCTCTCTCTCTCTCTCCCTACCCCACTGCCCCCCCATCTCTTTCTTGCCTTCTCTCTTCCCCGCCTTCTCATTCTCTTCTCTGCCCTGTTTCTCTTCACCGCCCTTTCTTTCTATGTCTTTGCCATCCTTATTTCAGCTAACTTCCAGCCTTCAGACACCTGGATTCTATCTGGATGTCTTGTCTGACTCCACAGGAGCAAACTGTATCCCTTGTTAGTCACTGTCAACTCATCATTTACAATCTCACACATGGAGCTCCTTCACTCCTCTGCTTTTCAATATTGTTTGGAGATGAAAGTGTCTGTGCAAACAAGTTTTGTTCCTGTTCTGGAGGTTATTCCTCAGTATGGACCTTTGAGGGCTGATAAACTGCGCTCTCCTTTTTCTTTTCTCAGTCAATCACAAATGCAGTCCTACTGCTGCATTGTGATCAATAGCCTGCACCACAGAATATTATACAGTGTGATTTTATTATTGCAAACTCTGTTGTTTAAATCTTATTCTTAGGCTGCTTTTGTAACCTTGTTGAGTTCCCGCATTAAGAATCTATCTGAACCTTGGAATCAGAGCAGAGCTTTTGAAAAACTTGTTGAGGAATCTCGATTCAGAGACAGGTCTGCAGTTATACTGTGGAGTATTTGATTAAAATACACATAATATTTAGAAAGATTGTTAGAAAATAAATTCCATTAATATAAAATAATCCCAAAGCACTATTACAAAAAGAGGAGTTTCTCCTGGAGTCCTGACCAACAATCCTCCAGGTTAAGATAGTCTTGCACTTCATGGCTATTGTTAGCAAATTGGCTGCCACGTTCACTTACACAATATACAGTCACTGTACATGAAATGCTATTATAGGCTTTGAGATGCAATCCCAATGTGAAAAGTGCTATATCAAATGTAAGCTCTTTTTTAAAAATATTTTGCTTTTAATTGCAGGAGTAGATTTCCAAATGAAGAGCTTGATTGTTGATGGAGAGCAAACAGTGCTGCAGCTGTGGGACACTGCAGGCCAGGAAAGGTAAATCAGTGTGGCCTTTGAGGGGCAAGGGAATACAGGAGAGGGATTTAGGAGAGGGTTAGGAGGGGTGGACCTTCTTGTAAAGTATAAACACCTTGCAAACAAGTTCAGCTCAATGCCCTGAATCTGTATGAGACTATATAATTCTATGAAAATTCTCTTTATTCTAAGATACAATTGGTCATTCACTTCATGGAGTCCTGTAGCTCTGTGGTTAGAGCGCTCGCCTTGCAAGCGAGAGACCTGGGTTTGACTCCCGGCAGGGCAAAACATTGTAGAAGTTTCTTATTCCACACACCTCTGTTTACCTAGCAGTAGGTAGGAACCTGGTTGTTCGTTGATTGACAGATCGCTTTTCTGGGGGTAATAAAACCTTCCAAATAAATAAAATTTATAAAATAATAATGATTTAGGCATTCAATCCACAACTGTTTGTGGGACACTGCTGTGCACAATTGGAATTTTTGGTCTAGGGAGAACTCACACAGAAAGGTTCAGCCAGAGCGAGAGATAGAGGCAACCACCATTGATGCCTTTGCCCAATTCTTATTGTGTTGTCCTGCGATGGAAATCCTCACCCAGGCTTAGATTTCTGGGAACCTGCCTGAAGTTTTGTCGGCAATGTTTCCTCAGAGTGACTTGAGACCCTGCTTCTCTTCTGGGAGTGAATTAGTTCGCTTACCACATAAATGTTGGAGGGATGAAAGTGGATCAGTTCTCAGTGAAACCCTGTTTGTATTTTAGGTTCCGGAGTATTGCCAAGTCCTACTTCAGGCGTGCGGATGGTGTTTTATTGCTGTACGACGTCACCTGTGAGAAAAGCTTCCTTAACGTTCGAGAATGGGTGGATATGATTGAGGTGAGCGCCCCTGCCTGGAGATTAAAAATAGATGGAAAATTGTCGGTGTGTTTGGAAGGGGGGGGAACAACTGCCTCCAACGCACTACAGTCAAAACACTTCACAATAAAATCTTGTCAAGCGCTTTGAGATATCATTCCATGTCAAAGACACTGCATCGAATGCAGGGATTATTATTAAATATTATTATCCGCATTTTTTTCTTGTTGGATTGAAAGGACTCAACTCATGAAAACATCCCTATCATGTTGGTTGGGAATAAGGTGGACCTGCGGGAACGAGCGATTGAGGAGGGGCAGAAGTCGATCCCCACGAGCTATGGGGAGAAGCTGGCAATGGTGAGAGCCAAGAGCTGAGCTATTCCTCTTACTGAGACAGTGAGTGCAGCTGGGGGTGGAGCGGGGCAGAGCGGTGGGGGGGGAGGAGAAGAGGCAGCAGAAGATGTGTTTGCACCAGAGTATTGAACTTTTAGCATGTAATGAAATGGAGCTTTTAAACATCATCTGCTTTTGATATCATGGTTCCAACCCAGGCCACTTCCCTGCTGCTATTTGACATTTGAAGGCGTCTACTCATAAATAGCCCTATATTTTTATTGCCTGTGCTTATTTGCCCACAAAATACACAGTTAAACTGCTTCATAGTATAATCTATGAAATGCTTTGAGATGTCTTGACAACGTGATAAGCTGTTATATCAAATGCAAGGATTATTATTATTATTCCAGAAATGTCTGCCTTCTGGACCAAATAATGCAAGCTGTGGTTTTCTATTACACATGTCACGACACAGTGGAAATGAGTCATTGGGTGGGGGGAGTGTGGGAGCCGAGCCTGCTCTTAGTCTGGCCAACAGTTTACAAATCAAGGGACTCATTTCAAAAAAATTACAATTTGTAATTTGTCACTGGAATTTGAAGAGGAAGAAACCACAGGAGGGGTGTGCTACCACCTGGTGGGCAGTAAACAGATGAGTGTTACTTGAGGAACACCACAAACATTCCCCATTTTGTGTATTAGTGGCCTGTGAGGACAGGATTGGGCTTGGCTCCAATGTTTCCACAACTAAAATAGGCTGTTGATGTTCACTGTCTCAGCACCAAGAGGCTGAACATCTCATTGAACAATATTACCAGTTGTAAAACTAATTCCTCTTGCAGGTAAATAGTTGGATAGTTGGTTGAGCTATTTGCAAATGGCCTATTTTGATAGTGAGAAGGTGAGTCCTTAAAAAATTTACTTTGCTCTTTACAGGCAGAGAGAACAGTGTGTAAAAGTATTTAGAAACAATAAGAAACAGCCTCAGGAGACCTTTTTAGTTTCAATCTATTTTGATTCTGACACTCTCAGTGAAGCAATGTCATTACATTGTGTAATGACAGGCATGTGACAAGTTGAGAGGGAATGACTCATCTTTGGGTGGGGTTTTAAGGCAGCCATATGACGCAGTACTGAAGGAAATCATACGATTGAGTTAATCCTTTTCTCACTCTCTCCTTAACAGACGTACAGTGTACTGTTCTGTGAAACCAGTGCCAAGGATGGCTCGAATATCATCGAAGCAGTTCTTCACCTGGCTCGGTAACTGCAAACTTTACTAAACACATTATTATCTCAGCATCTCATTGGAGATACATAGGCATCGGATGGGCTGAACAGTCAATGCCCAATTTGATTTGTGCATGAAAGTAAACTACAGAATCTGAATTGCGCCTTTTCTAGCACAATAGATCTCTTTACTTCCTTCTGGCTTTACTTCATATGATCCACAGAGTTTTACAGCACAATAGTAGTCACCCAGTCACCCAACCTCTGCGCCTTGACTTGTTTGGTTTGCTCGCTCATCTTTATTCAATACTATCAGTATTAGTATAGTGTCCTTCCCTGGGGGCTTTGACCCGTCGCCATGCGTTCTCAGTAGTAACAAAAAGTGGCAAAGGGTCAGGACCGCATCAAAACAAAGGAAGAGGGGAGGAAAGAAAATGACAAAAACAATTACAAAAATGACTGGACCTAAAGAGATTGCCCTGGATATATTTGGTGAATGCAGAAGCACCCCTTGAGATTCTTAAGTTAATTGTGAACCATTTTCAAGGAATCCAGTGGCTGACTAGGATGATGGTCCATTAGAGGAGCAGGTGTCACTGGGCAATCCTTCAATTAATTTATAGCAGATACCACTAATGGAGACCAGACTGCATTTACAGCAATACATCTGGAGCCCTATTGCCTGGGCCATTTTTAATTGGATGGGGATGGGGGAGGGGGAATAGAAAGATGAGCAAATCTCTGTTGGTGTTGCCATACATTCTAAAACTAAAGTTTCTGTGGAAAATGCACTTTGGAAGATGGAATGGACACTGTATGATAATGCAGGTGTACCTTTTATGACCCTCATCTATTGGATAAGGATGTCGGCACATAGCCACTTGCCATCTGGTGAATGCTTTTCTTGTTTGCTCGTAATTATGAGCATAACATTTTATTAGTGGTGATAATGTAACAGGGACTTTTGTGATGTGGCAGTCTAATGACTTGCAGGTGTTGGTTACCCTGGAGGCCTTCCCAACATTACATTTATTGACAGCCATGCTTTTTTCGTTTGGTCAACCATCATTTTTAGATATTTTGCAACTCAGCGCTTCTGTGGCTAACTTGCACAATACGTCTTACTCACCTGGCTCCACAGCCAACCTCTAGCCTTTAAGAGGTGTACAAGAGTGGCCCTGTGGTAATTCTTCCTTCAGATGTGGCCACCCTCACTGGGGATATGGGCTGGACTGCTTAGTGCCTCTTGTGGAGGATGAATTAGGGTAAGTAGGTATTGTGCCACATATGGTGGATGGAAGCTGCAGGATTCAATGCCTGGCTTGCCTCAGCAAAGGTGCATTTGACTGTACTTGATAAATCTGTCTCTGTATTGATTTAGTCTTGTACTGTTTACAATAGAGATGACTAAAGACCACATTGAAACAGAAAGCAGGTGCCTGGCTGGTACTGAGAATATTTTAACACTGTCCGTCTGTTCATTCCTGCAGGAATGTGAGGAAAAGAGCAGAGGAAAGGAGCAATACGGATTGTGTAACTAGTCTGTCCGGGACCCACCTGAACAAAAAGCTGCCTATGAAATCCTGCTGCTCTACTTAAAGGTGGTCATTGAAGTCCTCTGTCTGATCTGCTCTCTGCATACTTTGTGATCAAGACTATCATTTGAGAAGAGCTCACTGAGCAAAAGATAAGCAGTTGAAGGATGAGAGGAAACGAACACTTAACCAGCCCTGAGTTAGCTGTGCTTGTGCTTCATTTATTCCATTAGCAACTTGAACTCTGTCAAACTGCTGCCATAGGACTTGCCAGAAACAAGGCTGAGACAAGCAAAGTATATCTAGCTCATTTATCCGTAGCTGTATTTGTACAAAGTGGTCTTATTTACATTTCAGACTTCTAAGGATGTTTCCAGAAAACAATATTGCTGCTTTTTAAAATTTTGGATATTATTATGGCTCATGTTACCTCCATAAATGTATTTATTTTTAAAAAAATCCACATTCAAGTCACCTTTACAGAAGCTTTTTATTGCACTTAGAAATGTAAATAAGATTATTTTTATGTGACCGGAGTAGAAGGATTATCAAAATGTTCAGCAATGTTTAGTGAAATATATTAAATGATATGTTCCATTTTATTAGACTTTTTCAGTGAAGTTCTCATTTTGTCAAATGCACAGTGAGTGACATTGAATGTGGAGCACTTATGCTCAGTGGTGTCGTTGGGAATTGCTGGTTTGATCCCTCCCCCTATCCTATCCAACTTAGTGAAATTTTGAGACAACAATGTTAGAGTGGGTTCAAGACCTGCAGTCTTGGCCAGTGCCCTCCTCAACCATCCACGGATAAATTGGTCCGTCATTTAATGGCTGTTTTGTGGGACATTGCTGTTTGCAAATTCACTGGTGTGTTTTTCCCCAAGTACACAGTCTAGTGAGTCTTGAATACACAATCTAACCAGAATAATAATTCTTGCATTTGATATAGCATCTCATCATGTCTTCGAGACTTGGCAGTATAAACTGTAAAGTGTGTCATTGTATTTTGTGGGCAAACACGGCAGCCAATCTGGGTATAACAATGCCCCACAAACAGCCACAGAGTGAAGTACTTCACAGAATATACTGTAAAATGTGGAGACTAATTTGTAGGCAAGTGTGGAGCCGAGTGAGAAAGTGCAAAACAGAGGTTAAGGCTCTTTCCAGGGAAGGATTTGTCCTGACAGACGCTACACAAGTATAATGTTGTTGTTTTTGTTACAGATCTGCTGCATTCACCCTCTCAGCAGCTCATTGAGTGGGTATTGGAAGATAACTTTGAGACTGAATTCCATTACCTTTCATCCCATCAGTTAGGCTGGATTGACATGCAGTTAAAGTGATGGGATGAAAGCAATGGCCTATCAAGATTTGTAAGGTATCCTTACAGATATTTTAGATCTCAAGTTGAGGGGGAGCAGATCCAAGTATAAGTGGGGAATCATTGCCTCTGGGGGAGCACTGCCTTGGCAGAGGTGCTGTCCTTTGGATGAGATGTTAAACTTAGGTCATATCTGCCTGTTCAGGTAGATGTTAAAGATCCTATGGCGCTAATTGAAAAAAACAATGGAATTACTCCTGGTGTCCTGGCCAATAATCTTTTAGATAAAATTGGTCATTCACTTTATAGCTGGTCATGGGACATTCCTGTGTGCATGTTGGCTGCTGTGTTTGCCTACAAAAAACACTGTCACCACACTTTACAGTAAATTCTTTGAAGCCTTTTGAAATGTCCTGTTGTGAATGCAAGGATTATGATACAGGTATAAATAGATTTATCTGTATGAATCTATTAAGCACACATTGACTCTTCTTTAGAGATAGATGACACCCTTGTACTATTTGAACAGTTGAAATATGGCAAGCAAATCATGTGCTGAGAGCGACTGTCACAAGTTTGATATTAGCAGTAGAATAGTCTTGAGAGCTGTTGTTAAAATAAGTGTAATGCAAGCATAAGTACAATCAACTAAAGTACCAACATCCTTTCCCCTAGGCAAGCAGTCCTGCAATGTGAATTACCCAATTATAGTAATGTACAGTATCTGGCGTCAACGAATGCTGTCTGGATCCGCCTGTGTATTCAAACTAGGCAGGCAACAGCCTTGAGATGGAGCTAAGAATTGAATGCTGCTGAAACAGGGAACTCCAAAGGCAAATACAGATGAGGCATATTTTACACTAGATAATAATCTATTGGGCTGAGTCAATAGTTGTATTAACCTGTTTCTGCATTAGTAATCAGCACAATCTCTTTTAAGCAGTCTGCCTGAATTTGGTGGCTTCACAACCTAAAAGGGTTTCCTGAAAATAGGAGACAAAGTTGGGTGGGAGGGGCAAATATTATCCAAGGTTTCTGTACTTGTTTAGAGACGGATTACCTTCTTTGCATTTCATATAGGACTTACGTGTGGAAACTCTGAAAGTGCTTCGCAGGATTTTTGCCAGTGAAGTGTAGTGATTGTATTTGTAGGTGATGTTACAGTATACTATGCTGATTGCTTAAGGGATGGCAGATGGTTTAGAGCTCAAAATCATTGTCCTTGCCTTCAAAGCCCTCCATAGCCTTGCTCCTTCCTACCTCTGTAACCTGCTAACTCCATATTGACCTGTCTGCTCCCTCCGCTCAGTAGTTCTCCTGCTTGCTCCACGTCCTACATCCGTCCCGTCCTACCATTGGTGGTTGGTCCTTCAGCCTCTCTGCCCTCACCCTTTGGAACTCCATCCCAGAGTCCCTTTGCCTCGCTCCCTTCCTTGACTGCTTGAAAGAATGTCTCAAGACACTCCTTTTTGACCGTGCCTTTGGTCAACCTCCTACACCTCCCCTCCCTGCCCTCCTGATGCCAATCCTCTACTTGGGTCCAAATCCCTGACTATCCAGCGACTTGGGACATCCTCCCGACATGAAAGTCGCTATACAAATGTAATCTGTTATTGTTGTAATAGAAATATCAAGTCATCCACACAAGTACAGGCAATATGTGTGTACTGTGAATTGGTATCAATTGTTAACAAAGGAAAGGAATAGCTCTGCCTCAATGGCTCAGTTAGTTAAAGAGAAGAGTGAAACTAAGTGGCCGAAGTGAAACAAAACCAAAGACCAGGAGAGTCAATTTCTATGGGTATGCAAAATCTACTCGTTCATAAATTCGACAACATCCACATGTAACGAAAATCTAATCTGAAGGGCCGTGAACTGGGTTGGACATTGTGAGACAGGTTAGTTTTACCCTACTGATGTGTGGTTGCAATAGTATACCTTCTCCATGGAAATACAATTGTACAGAGTTAGTAATGATGCACAGGAGTTGAAAATGAGCAGGATTTCCAGGACACAGAAAGCAAAAAAATGCTTTTATCTGCTTGATATCGATGACAACAGCACCCCCTACAGACATTATGTCATCCGAAATGCAAACACTATTGCTGCAATGACTTTGCGTAATACTGTTCAAAATCAAAATTGGTTCAGTCTCAGGTGGAAAAAATTATATTGACTCCAACGGACCTGTATCTAACAACTATAGATCCATTGCCCTAACCTCAATAATTGGGAAAATGCTCTATCAGAAATAATGATTACTAATATAAAAATAAATGATAGCCAACATGGGAAGTGTAATAACTAATCAAAGTGCTGGCAATCTTATTGAAGTATAAATAAATACTTATGTATTTTAGTAATTTGGTTTATTCAGTAAAATGGTACAAAATGCATAAAAAAAACCTCACAGGTTTTTTATATCATATCTGAACAAATCACAACATCATCCTTCTAACCTTCATCAAGTTAATATAAAGCAATCTCTATATTAGCATAAATACAACTGACATAAATCCCAGTGCATTCAGTGATGCACTTAACTCTTAATTTCCTAGTACAATAGCAATTAATCACGCAACACCTGTTTTATTTGATTTTATAATAATATTCCTTGCATTTTAGCCTCGTGCTTTATAACAACAACAATAACAAAATTGCATTTGTATAGCGCCTTTCACCTCAGGAGGATGTCCCAAGGTGCTGGACAGTCAGTGTTTTGGACCCGAGCTGCGGGTCGGGATTGAGAGGGTGGAGGGCAGGGGGGGAAGCAGGGTAATCGAAAGGAGGGTCTTGAGATGTGTCTTGAAGGAGGCAAGGGAAGGGGCAAGTCAGCGGGACTGCAGGATGGAGTTCCAGAGGGTGGGGGCAGAGTGGCAGAAGGCCCGCCTGCCAATGGTGGGGCTGGCGAGGCGGGGGACATGAAGCAAGCCGGAACCTACTGAGTGAGAGAGCGGGCAGGATGGTGTGCCATGACCCACTCTGCCTTCCCCCACCTCCACAACGTCACCCAGCTCTGCCATTGTCTCACACTGCAGGCTGCCGAAACCCTCATACGTGCTTACATTACATCGAGGCTCGACTATGCAAACTCTCTGCTTGTCGGCCTCCCCAACTCCTCCCTCCACAGGCTGCAGATCATCCAGAACTCTGCATCCTATGTCCTTCCGCCACTCTGCACCCACCCTCTGGAACCTCCATCCCACGTCCACCTCGGCCCCTCCCTTGCCACCTTCAAAACCTATCTTAAGACCCTCCTCTTCGACCATGCTTTTGATCTCCCTGCTTCCCCCCCACCCCAACCCCCAGCTCAGGTCTGTAACTCTGTCTGTCCAGCACCTTGGGTCATCCTCCTAATTTGAAAGGCGCTTTACAAATGTCATTTTGTTGTTGTTGTAAGGGGCTTAGGAGGTTGTAAAGGTAGGGGGGAGAAAGCCCATGGAGGGCTTTGAACGTGAGGACCAGAATCTTAAACTATATCCTCTGTGTGATGGGAAGCCAGTGGAGTTTTGCGAGGTTGCGGTGATAGGGTCACGGAGCCTGGTGCGGGAGAAGACATGGGCTGCAGAGTTCTGGATGATCTGCAGCCTATGGAGGAAGGAGTTGGGGAGGCTGACACGCAGGGAGTTTGCATAGTCAAGCCTCGATGTTATCACGTCTTCAAGACTGGCTGGTCTATCATCAGAAGTAACATGAAGTACTGCAGACCTGTCTGGCTGAGTAATCAAATTACTGAGACTACCATAAAGGTTGACTTGATTCCAACATTCCATGCCAAGCATATCGCCTTGGAGCCTTGTCAGCTCTAAGTGGCTCCAAGGTTATTACCTAATCACTGAAATTAGGTAATTTGTTTTTGGTGAGCTGGAAACCCATCACCATGCTTAAGAGTATCCAAACCAAACTAAGAGTTCTATACATGCCAACTACAAATGGAAATTTCTATGTCTGGAATGGATTGCGCACTTTATCCCTAAGAGGGATGCACCTTCTTTATTTCATTTTGGAGAGTATTAGATGCAAGTTGAGAAGAGCCAAGGCTTGGGGACCCAAGAGCATGTCACGGAATACTGGAGTTTAACCAACTAAAACTGTATAATTTGCCATTGAAAACACTGTCTGGAAAGCTTGCCACTGATTATCCAGCTGGGACCACCCTAACCGTTAGAGCATTGGCTTGAGGAGAGCTTACTGAGAGCTGAGTGGAAGGGTTCCCTGCCATTGAGCCAGGCGGGCTGTGCTGTCATCAGCAGTGCTCTGGAATACTGCAGATCCGCCTGACTC